AATTAATGATAACTTCTCGATATTTAACTATAGGATATGTTGGCGCAACGACATTGTGTACAAGTAGTGCTTTCGTTTTATCTATATTGACGGGAAGAATTTTTTCATTTGAGAATTTGGATAAGGACTCCATTGCTATTCTCGCTTGTTTCTGTAATTCAATTATATTTTGTGAGAAGCGTTTCTCTAGCACTCCAAATAGGACTATCGCAAGGTCGTCAGCGAATAAATGAATCAAAGTACCCATAAAATATTTAGCTAAAAAATGAATATGTAATCTAAAAAGTGTAGCGGCCAGAACTGAACCTTGCGGTGCGCCGACAAAGATTTTTACAGTTCGAGAAATTGCCTCAGCAAAATGAATCGACAGCGTTCTACCTCGTAAACATTGGTGAATCCATCGCAGAAGAGGAAGAGGGAAATTAAGTTCGTTTAATGTTCTTACTAGAGCAGGATGCCACATTTTATCGAATGCTGACAAAAAATTCACAAAAATTACTAGCGCTGGTCTATTACATGCAGACACTGTTAGGCGTAAATCCTCAATTAATGACAAAATGCGTGTTTGAAGTCTTCTTTCAGGAGTAAAGCCTGATTGTTCGTCTAAGTAAACTCCGTCTGCTTTACTCCATTCTAAAAGTCTATTATGTATGATCTTTTCATACCACTTTCCAATGTTTGATAGCAACGAAATTGGTCTTAATCTATTTACCCGCGGGTAAAGTCCATCCTTAGATAGGCAAACAACCCTGGCATGTTTACTAAATTCTAGACAACTACCTAATTCAGTACATTTTTGAAAACCAACCGTGAAGATATTAATATATTCAGTTGGTAGCATTTTTAATATGTATGCCGATGTTCCGACATTGTCAGTCGATTTTTTGTTTTGGATCCTATTCAAACTCTTTTTAACTTTTTCCATTGTAATTTGTTGTAATGGAATATTTGGCATATAAGAGATCTTAGTATATTCCTCCATCGCTTCTTTATGGGCTGATATATTCAGATCGTATACCGGAGTTTCAAAGTGCTTTTCGTAGTCAGCTAGTAGATTTGCTACTTTCGGTGGTCTTTTATTACACCAGAGTCCGTGGTAATACCTTTAAATGGAGGAGAGTATGGGCAAAAAGTTGGATGAACAAAGTTCCAGATATTATTACGATTAGAGATCAAGGACATTTTATCCTCTCTTCGTTTGCTCACATATAGGCATTTCTCATATAAGAAAGTGTTTCTCCAGTATAAATAATCACATAGGTGTTTAATTTTACGAGTCTTTCTGTATCTACTTTTCGCTTTATTTTGATCTCGCACTATTGAAACGAGATATGGCGGCCAAGGTGGCCGGTATTTCTTTATCGGCATAAATACACTCGTACGATCCCATACAGAAGAAAGAAAAGTAGAAAATAATGAGAAGACTGTGTCTGGGTGTAGGCTATAAACAAGTACATTCCAATATTCGTATACACATTGTAAAAAGTAAACAAAAATTTTCCCGTTAGTTTTGCGAAAAACAGTCTTTTCTGTAGCACACAAAGGAGATTGGATTAGTACTGGAAAGTGATCCGACGTACCTACATCTAGTACTTCAGCTGACCATCCAGTCGAGTCGTGAGTAAGCCCAAAATCGATAATAGCATCCGAACGTTTAGATGTTGGCTGAGTAGGAGCAATCATCTCAGTTCCAGACTCCTCCATCCATTTTTGCAGATGCACACCGCCTGCATTGTTCTTACTACATAGCCATTGAGAGTGTTTTGCATTGTAATCGCCAAAAACGTAGAATGGCTTATTTTCGCAGTGTTTAAATAGGTGATGGGGGAAAGCAGTATCTGGGGGTACATATATCGCACCTATATAAACAGTTTCAGATAAAATCGATATTTCGATTAGTAGAAAATTTAATTCTTTATAAACTATTTTAGTCCTTAAAGAATTATGCACTAACATAGAGACGCCTCCAAAAGAATTGGTACCTTCTTGTTTAAGCCAGTAGTACGAAGGAACCTGAGGCACTTTACTAATCCCTGAACCCACACCAGTAAGTATACATATCCGAGGTGTATACGTCGATACTAGTATGTGCACGTCCGCAATATGGGTACTTATACATTGACAATTATATACAATAAGCGATAGATAATCGAAGTCTAATGGCGGTCTCTGTTTATGCCATTTTAAACAGATATCACTCGTACTGATCCTCCTATTCCATTCTTCACCTATTTCTATTAACGTTTGTCTTTCAGAAGCAGATCCCTCAAACAACCTTAACGACTGTGTATTCACCTGAGGCTTTGCGTATCGAAAAAAACTATTCATTACGCTGTTGTTTCAACCCTGATCCAAATAGCTCATGTCTTGAATCAATAACTCACTATGTTTTGTCATCGGCGTTTCTAATTTCTGGTGATGATCATTAGCAAGTTGTAGACGATCAGACAATGTATTAATTGTAATTAATGTTTCAGCCAGTATTTGATTGTTATCTTGTCGTTCATGTTCATCGACATGAACATTAGTGTTCTGTTTTTCAAGTACACGATGGAATAATTGCATCGTCTGAATTATTGGTGGCATGACTTCACACACAGTCGTATATATGTCAGTAATAGCCTCCGTTTGAATTTTATTTTGAAGATTAAACAATTGAATATGTTGTGTCGTTGCCTGTACTTGTTTTGCATGATCTTGTTTTAACTTCAAGACCTCTGTCATATTTCCAGATTTTATCTTTTCAAATTCACTTTGTAATGCCTTGATTTCGTTAGCAATCGAGAAACTTTGTATTTGATGAAACGTCTGTGATGAATTTGAATTCGAGTTCAGTAGTGGCCACATGTTTGGGTCATTTTGATTAAAAACTTGATGTTGTTGAATCCGCTCATCAGGCATTGATTGTTTCAGATTGCTTCGTAACGTTTTCAATCCTTGGTCTCGATACTTCAGAGGTAGGAAAAGTTGAACATCAGGAGGAAGTTGACGACTATCACTTTTTAATTTTTTCAGCAATTCGTCCCGAAAACCCATAACGTACGAACATCGAAAACTTGTCATTTCATGATCTTGTCCACAATGTATACAGTATACGATACATTCTTGATGATTGACGCCATTGTTTCGATCATCTCCACATCGTCGGCATATATCGATCTGTGAATTGCAATTCTTTTTCATATGTCCTGGATAATTACAGCGACTACAGATAAGTAGTTTAGGAGAAGGCAAAAACTCATCGACATCGAATATTCGGCCCACTAGCAGGAATTTTCCTTTATTCAATATTGCTTCATATTCATCAGATGATCGCATATCGAAGCGAATATGTCTTGCTTTTTCGTTCATTGTTCCAACCATGTTTTCGATCGTGTATAAGCTTGAATATTGTTCATTTAATCCTCCCTTAACTTCTTCTAAAGATATATTATTATCGACGAATTTCATAATTATATTGAGTTGTGGAGGCAGTTTCTTTGGCAGGACCAATTTCAAATTCACATTTGTAATTGAATTTGGAATATGTAATGGATCCGAAAAAAAGACAAATATTTCAATTGAATTTGTGAAATATACAAGATCCCCATTTCTATCAACGATATAGTTATCGAATCCTAATGGAACCTGAAGTCGTATAGTTAAACGATTCAATTCTTGTTCTATGTTCTTGAGCTATGTCTTTATGATATTAGCCGCCTCTTTCTGATTCGTTAGCTTTGGTATGCATTGAATTCGTATTGGTGGTAGTCGATCATCAATAGCGTACCGTAACGCTTGATGTGAGACAGTTTGGCTCTTGACATTCCGCGATGAACCAGGTGCTGAATGTTTATATGATGAATTGTTCCACTGATGACTCTGTACATTTTGGTTAATCAGGTGGATCATTACGTTGAAGACTGCTTCTATTTTCATAATTCCTTTGTCTCTTACGTTGAGCCATCCGAACATTATCGTCTCTCTCAAAATCATCTTTCAACACTCTATGGCGTTTAGGAGTTCCTTCTTGCTGATTCTGTCGATCAGCTCGTGGTGTACATTGTATATTTCTCGTTAAAATATCCCGTTCATTCGTATCCATGTCATTGTAGTGATTATATTCTAATTGCTGCATGTATGTCATAATTCAATTTTAATTAGTTAACTTAATCGAGTGATCACACTATTTTGTAAAAATAAACACGATGCACTTAAAGTGCAAAAAATAAAAACCACGTGTACAATATACTTATATATGTGTATGTACATATAGTAGTAGACGAAATAAGAAACACGTCTGACTGCTATCATAGTAAAAAAAGGAGTTCTTTTTCAAAAAGGATTTCTTTATCTAATTGGTCTTAAGTTGTTGATGAATTAAAGAACATAAAAAATATAGTGACTAAAAGCACTCGACTGATAGCTAAAGTAGCCTTTTGCAGCTTTCAATATTCGTCCATTTCTCGGATGACATGCCCTTTATTTGCACAAGGAAAATTTTTATATTTTAAAGATTGCGATGAATAAAATAATGATGTTATGCATGTTTACTTCTTTGTAGATGACTAACGCGTTCTAAACAGTACAGCAGAAGGACTTTCAGACATGCGAGAATATTCTTATGAAAATCGCTGTCAGTACTCCACAGCTGTGATGAAATGATAGTTCTTCAGTGAGAATTTCCCATAGGATATTGAGACAGGATCGCAGTTTTCATTAGAATCATAAAATGCTAATTGCTATTGAATAAAATCGAATATTTCTAAAGAAGCAAAGAAATTGCTCAAAGAGTTGTATTTTTTTCATACATATCTTATACAACAAAACAAATTGTTAATGACTCATACGGATCATGCTGAGCATATTCAATTAATACTTGAATTTGCTTTAGTTTTTAGCAAAAGTTTCCATCGGATTAGAAGAAATTCTTATATAATTAACTTTTTAAAACATCCAATTAGGAAAAGAAGAAAACGTCAATAAATATATGAAAATGAAGAAATCCTGAGATTTAAACTGATCAGACAAGTTTCTATCAAGAAAATAAAGTCAGT